AACTAATGCGGTTTTCCAGGATGTACGAAAGGTAGCGTTTTGTAGTGAGTAATTGTAGATATGGTAGAGGATTGGAAGGATGGATGGTAGTGAGGCTTTGATCAGTCTGACTGGGATGTTATCAGGTCCATAATCATTGGTTTGCGACTTTTGAATGGAGTTGAGAAGGTCATCAGGCGTAATATGGGAAAAACAATTGATCAGGATTAAAATTTATAGGAAAACACACAGGAGTCGGATGGATTAAAGGAGGTGTTTTATATGTGGAGTGGGATCTTTTAGGTTAAGATTAACAGTTTAATTTTTTTTGCAATAGACAATTCAAGAGATTTTTACAATAATGGGACCCACACCTTTAGTTCTGATGGTGGAACATTCCAAATGGGATCACATGTCAGCTAGTGTAGTCCTTTACAGGTTTTCGTATTTGCTATGAAGTAAGTTAATTAATTAATCACAAAAGACTTAGGAAATGCAGACAGCGTATATTGCTCCAATAATAGAAAGTAAGAGCTCGCGGGAGATGACCTACGGCGAACGGGATATCACGACCAGCTAATGGGTTATCACTGTATGCAACCGGGATATGACTAACAGCTAGCGGGATATCACTAAAAGCTAAGACAGCTTACAGTATATCGCCAATAGCTACGGTGTATCACCAACCGCACACAGTATATCACCAGAGAGCTAAAAGTGGATCACCAAATAAGGTCATCGACTATTAGTTACAAGACACACTTTATCAGGTTCCTAATATTGGTATAGGGTTCAGGATTTAATTAATTGGGTTACCATTTTTTTTTTGGAACAATAATGTCTTTTGGATAGGAAACTTTACATTTTTCATGAGACTTACTTAAAGTTAGTAGCTGCAATACTTGTGAACTACGGAACTATTATAGATATATTAAGCTAACGGATATGAGGAAAATTTACCAAAATTAGACAATGAGATAAAAATAATAAGGCATTATGGGAGATCTTCAAATAAATTTGATACATAAAACAAAAATAATAATTTTAGGAGGCAGCGGGTTCAGGAGTAAGTGGGTAAAATTACCTCTTTAGTTACTATATAGTTTACAGCGTTATATCCTTCCAGATCGATTAAGAAGGATTTGGATGGGAATCTTTTTTATTTTGTTTAGTCAGTAATATATATGGTCAGAAGTATTATTAATGATAAAGGAATGTTTTAAGTCATGTATTATGCATTTTTAAAGTAATTTTCTATTATCTCAAATGTAATAGGTGTTGTACTTAGGGTTCGAACCTGGAATGTGGTAAACTGAATCATGGTGTTTTATATGTGGAGTGGGATCTTTTAGGTTAAGATTAGCAGTTTTAAATTTTTTGCAATAGACAATTCAAGAACTTTTTCAGTAATGGGACCCACACCTTTAGTTCTGATGGTGGAACATTCCAAATGGGATCACATGTCAGCTAGTGTAGTCCTTTATAGGTTTTCGTATTTTCTATGAAGTAAGTTAATTAATTAATCACAAAAGACTTAGGAAATGCAGACAGCGTATATTGCTTCAGTAATACAAAATAAGAGCTCGCAGGAGATGACCTACGGCGAACGGGATATCACGACCAGCTAATGGGTTATCACTGTACGCAACCGGGATATCACTAACAGCTGGCGGGATTTCACTAAAAACTTGACACAGCTTACAGTATATCACCAATAGCTGACGGTATATCGCCAACCGCACACAGTATATCACCAGAGAGCTAACAGTGGATCACCAAATAAGGTCATCGACTATTAGTTACATGACACACTTTATCAGGTTCCTAATATTGGTATAGGATTCAGGATTTAATTAAGGTGGTTACCATTTTTTTTTTGTTGCAATTACAGTGATATTTGTAACAATAATGTCTTTTGGATAGGAAACTTTACATTTTTCATGAGACTTACTTACAGTTAGTAACTGCAATACTTGTGAACTATGGAACTAAGTCTCATTATAAAAGTAATATGTTGGCATTTAGATTCATTAAACTTAATGCGCCAGTTATTGCACCAGTGCTCAATCAAGGTGAGGTGGCTTTGGAGATTTAAGGACGTTATTTCGGGATCTGAGTTGGATGATAAGATTGCGGTGTCATCATCAAATGTTGCAAGGAAGGTATCGGAATGAGCAGGGACGTCAGCGGTAAAGAGGATGTAAAGCACGGGACCCAAGACGCTGGCCTGGGGAACATCGACTTTAATTGGATAAATATCGGAAAATGCCGTTCCGCAGTGTACTCGTAAGGAGCGGTGAGAGTGATAGGATCGAAAGATTAGGTATAAGGGCTGAGGGAGATGGATTTTCAGCTTGTAGAGCAGCCCGGGCTGCCATACCCGGTCAAAAATCTGTACTATGTCCAGAAATGCACCCGAACAGTATTGCTTGTTTTCTGGAGCTGCTGATATATGATCAACGACTCGAAGTCCTTGTTGAACAGTAGAATGTTTTGAGCGAAAACCAAACTGATGGGAAGGAAGATTTTGGGATTCTATGGGTGGTAGGAGTCGTTTCAAAAGGATCTTTTCAAAGATTTTTGAAAGGATTGCGAGTAGGCTGATTGGTCGGTCTATAGGATGTCAAGCTGTTGGGAGGATTACCTGATTTTGGAAAAAGGATAATGGTGGAGTGTTTCCATAATAGAAGAAAGTGGGTGGTACGTAGTATGCAATTGTAGATATATGTAAGGAATATGACTGCTTTGGATGGAAGTTGTCGAAGGATCTGAGGGGTAAGGAGATCATATCCAGGAGATTTACGGTAGATTAGCTTTTTTAATTGAAATTTCACTTCGGAAGGATGAATTGCTTTAGGAGGCATGGAAAATGGGATAGATGATGTAAGGAATTCTTCTACTGTCACTGTGTGGGCACGATAGGTTTCCGGATGGGGAATATATGCATTGGAGAGGTATTTGGTGAGCTCTTCGGCTTTATCTTCGTCAGATGCTGACTAGAAGCCGTCATCTCGTCGGAGTGGATGGGAATTTTGGTGAGGGTTTAGGATTTTCGTTGTGGTTTTCCAAAGAGAAGTGTCACGAACAGAGAGGGAGGATAGGTAGGAGTTAAAGGATTGTGATCTGAAGGTGGCTAATTCCAGATGAAGTGATGTCCTAAGGAATTGAGTAGAGAACTGAATTGGGGAATGAATTAGGAGGGCAATACGCTGACGCGAGGGTAACCGGAAAGAAGAAGGTTTTTATTACGATAGCGGTGGACTGTAGAAAATCGTGTGTAGGTAATGGGAGTAGGTGATCGCAGAGGGTTTGGTAGATAAATTGGGAATTGCAGATATGGTAGAGGATTGGAAGGATGGATGGTAGTGAGGCTTTGATCAGTCTGACTGGGATGTTATTAGGTCCATAATCATTGGTTTGCGAGTTTTGAATGGAGTTGAGGAGGTCATCAGGTGTAATATGAGGAAAAAAACAATTGATCAGGACACACATTGATAGGAAAACACACAGGAGTCGGTTGGATTGAAGGAGGTGTTTTATATGTGGAGTGGGATCTTTTAGGTTAAGATTAACAGTTTAAAATTTTTTGCAATAGACAATTCAAGAGATTTTTACAATAATGGGACCCACACCTTTAGTTCTGATGGTGGAACATTCCAAATGGGATCGCATGTCAGCTAGTGTAATCCTTTATAGGTTTTCGTATTTTCTATGAAGTAAGTTAATTAATTAATCACAAAAGACTTAGGAAATGCAGACAGCGTATATTGCTTCAGTAATAGAAAGTAAGAGCTCGCGGGAGATGACCTACGGCGAACGGGATATCACGACCAGCTAATGGGTTATCACTGTACGCAACCGGGATATGACTAACAGCTAGCGAGATATCACTAAAAGCTTGACACAGCTTACAGTATATCACCAATAGCTGACGGTATATCGCCAACCGCACACAGTATATCACCAGAGAGCTAACAGTGGATCACCAAATAAGGTCATCGACTATTAGTTACAAGACACACTTTATCATATAACGGGGTTTGAATCAGTAGGCTGAAGCCCCCCCAAAATGGTAAAATATAACCATGGTTTATCGAAAAAATATTACAAAAGTATCTCTTAAATAATTGTTATTCGTGTAACTACATTTAAAAGGGCTTGAGGAATAACTTAAACACCATTTCATACCGGTAGTTAGTTTCTTTCTTTTTTTCCTAAGTAATTATCGTTATTTTTATAAAAAAAAAAACTTTCGGGCTGAAGCCCCCCCCAAAAATAAATCCTGGATCCGCTAGTGATTCACAGTTCTATATTTCAACACTGCAATCATTTATCCTGGAATCAACTTACTCACTGTCTGCATAGATATAATTTTTCCAACTTGAAATATCACTTAAATAACTTTACCCAAAAATGTTGAAATTGGAGTTAGTCATTCTGTCGACTGAAGTTATGTGGTTTATAAAAGCAGGTGGGGTAATTAGATTTTTAATGCCTACCATTGATATAATAAGTAGACCTTTTGTAATTTTAATGGTCTTAATGATTTGTTATCTATAAGCTTTGAGCTTTAGCTCCGTTTAAAATGCGCTTCAGAAATTTTATTATAGCCCAATATTGCCAGAAAATAATTTTTATTCAAAGAAGAGCAGTAAGTGAAAGTTGTTTATTGTGCGCACCAGATTTTTTTTTTTAGAGTAAACAGATATTTATATATTTTTTAAATAATTTAAATTTGTTTCCTTTATGTTAAACAATAAATACAATAAACATTTTTAACATAACTTTTTGAAATCGATTACTTATACATGTCTAAATAAGATTGATATTTAGAGTAAAATTTTAAAAATATGGCCAATTCAAGATGTAAACTATCCTGTACTAATTTTCTAATATCTTTGTAACTTCTGAATGGATAGCTAGTTAATAATTTTAATTAAAATATGATTAATGAGGAAAGGACAATACAGAAATTTTGAATAATATTCAGAATTAAATAATATACTAGTTAGTTTGACCTATTGTGTTATGAAAAATATTTCATAATAAAACAATTATAATGATAATTATTATTTCTTTTCCATCCATAAATAAATCTAAAAAGACAACTAAAATTATTCCTACTTTAAGCTTGAACAAGGTTTGTTTGTGGATGTGTTATGTTGCCATAGCAACAGTTCCAAGTAACCTTCAGTACACTGAAAACTGCTCAGGTATGTTTGACATGATTATTTATTTTAAATAAAAATCACTTAATTGTTTTGGAATAACTTCCAACATATTATTAATTAAATCTTGAAATAATATATAAATATTGTAAAATTAAACTTTTAAAAAACAATTTTAGTTCAGTAATGAATGAAATGTATGATGAAGAAATATATGTTAAAAATGCTGATGAGGTTGAGAGTTTGTCTCCAAGGAGTCCTAGAAGAGAATATGTCTCCAGTCGGATGGAAATGCGAGCAGAAATGAAACCGAAACGCGACAGACCTATGTCAGCAGCCAAGGTTCGTTGTAAAACATGGTATCTATTGTTTTTCTAAGTGGAATTAATGAAATGGTGGGATATAAGAAATTATTTCTTGCAATGATGATTAACATTTAGTAAGTCTTGAGACCTAACATTTGCTAAACAAATATTAATACAATTTTATGATTAAAAAAGATAAATTTGAAAAATGGATATCATTTTCCTCCATTACTTTTTTATGGATTTATAGGTAATTATTTTCTTTACTTTCACTTATCTATTTATGAAATATGTAGCAAAAGAAATTATTGTTATAAAACACATTGTTTTTATAATTTTAAATATTTATTATTAGTCTAGGTCTTCTTCAAGAATTCAGCCTGTAGAAGTCCCTACAGGGTTTGAACAAGGAGACACAGAATCATCAGAAAACAGTGAGGAAGATGACGATGATGATGATGATGATGGAGGAGATCCACATGAAGTTATCATCGAAGGGTAATACATTTTTTAAATATGAATATCCACAATAATTTACTTTAAATTAAGATTTTATGTATAATTTATGGGCCCACATCAAACTAAACAATTTAGACTCCATATTTTACTAAAGAGGTGTTTATTTCAACAAATAAATATAGTCAAGAATAATTTTCAATTTTTTTTATTATTATTATACATAATTTGAAAATGCCAAAACATAATTTTTTGCTTTATTTTTAAATCTTTCATAACTCTAACTATTTGTTACAATAAACTTCAGAATTAAAAAGGTTTTAATGTGAAATATCACTCAAGCATACTAGATTAATTTTATTTTAAATATTATATTATTTTAAATATTAAAAATCAGACAAATCTCCACTTCAGTTGGAGAAACAAAACTGTATAATGATATAACGTTTTATTTCTTTGTACAAGTTTATTATTAAAGTAAGGTTCAATTATTATTTTCAAAGTTTTTGAAAATAACTTTTTAATAAACTGAAATTGTGTACACTAAAATTCAGGCATTTAACTTACGACTTCACTTTTTTTATTATAGAAGTCAAAAGAATACCGTCATGAACTTTTGCTTACATATTCTCATAACTGTACATCTAACAAAACTTAATTTTTTTTTAAATTCAATTTTTTAAACTAGGTTTCGTACCTAAATTTATGAAAATAATGGCACTATTATAACAGTTTTTTAAAAGATAAATAGGACTTTTGGAATGACAAGTTTTGTAACGTCTGCAAATATGCCTATAAACAGTAAATGTTTTGATTTGTTTTATTTTATTTATTACTGGAAAAACTGAAAATAAGAAAAATCTGAAATTTATTATTTTTACATTTTTTTCACAAATTAAAACATTTTATAAAAAAACGCTTCAAGAATTTTTTCATCTAATTATACTTTGATCCTGAATGATAGATCCATAATAATTAATTGTTATTTTGAATAAATTGATTTACATTTTTTTTTAGAGAAGTTGCCAGATATTATAAGGTAAAAAATTATCATTATTATTATTTTAATTGATTACTATTATTGGATTTAGCACTTCAGATTAAAAAAATCGATGTAACATTTCTAGATTACTTAAGAAATTTGATTATTATTATTTATTTTGTTTTTAACCACAAGAGCATTTGTTACAGCGCTTATGACCCAAAGGATTATCAACGCTTACCTGTCTCTGCAGATATAAAAGAGTTGTTTGAATATATTACTTTGTAAGTCTCACTTATTATTTACTTAATGACTGATTAAGTATTATTAATCAAGATGAGAAGTATTGTATAATATTATAGCTATACACCAGTAACAGTCCAGCTTGATTATAAATTGATTCCATTTATACCATCTTACATTCCGGCTGTGGGTGATATAGATGCTTTCATCAAAGTTAGAAGACCTGATAATGTTGATGATAACCTTGGTCTAACGGTTGTGGACGAACCGTCAATTCACCAAAGCGAACCGGCTGTCATGCATTTGCAGCTGCGTGCTACTACAAAACAAAGTTCAGCAAAACCAGTGGTCAGTTTTAATTTTGTTTTTATCTTATGCATAATAATGAAAGAGAGATGCCTTTGGAAATAAACATATTTAATTCATGTGCATTTATGGTTAATTAAATATAATAGAACATCTAAATACTTCATCGTAAATTTCATTTTATCTGTATCCAATTGTAGGAATAATATATTTTTTTTATTAAAATAAAATACATCAAATGAAGTATTTAGTATTTTTATTGTTTATTTTTCAGGTAGTAAAGAAGCTAGCGAATGCAGAAAAAAATCCTAAGGCTATCGACAAATGGATTAAGGATATCAGTGAACTGCACAAATCTAAACCCCCACCAACACTGGAATATTCAAGGTTTTTATATATTTTTTATTTTATTTATAATTTTCTTCTTCATTCTCAATCCCCTTCATGCTCTCTCTATTCTAAACTAAAAAATGTAAGATATCCAATAGTATAACTTGGAGTAACCTTTGATTAAATCCTTTCCAGAAAAAAACCTGTTTTCAATATCTCTTGCTGCTCCTTTTCCACTTTAAAATATCTAAATTACATCTTTACTTTAATATGTACAAAAAATATATATATAGTTCTTTGATTCTTCCATCTTTAATTGTCCAACTAATCAAAATTGGCCAAAGAAATCATGAATAAAATTTGCAATCATAAAATGAATCATGGTTATAATATATTTACTATTTAAAATATAAAGGAACATTCTAAAGGTTTTTATGTTTTTAGAAGAATAACTCTCAAGTAATTTTGGCAGAATTTCGAAACTATAATTGACTCTTTTTAAGACAATGAATCTATGTTTCAGAGTAATGAATCTATTTTATGATTATAATCGATAATTTAAAAAATCGATATAATAAATATATTAGGATCTATATCTATAACGATAATCATATGAATATTTATATAGATAATTTACTTATTACTTTACTACATAGATCTACAGCCCGAGGTGGGCCTTGGCTTCCCTGACAACATTGCACCAGTCCTCTCTGCACAACACTCTCCTCCTCCAGTTCCGAGACTTTCCATGTCTTGAATCCAACATCTCCGAAGTCATCCTCTCTTTCTGGTACCATACATCTTTCCAAGAATTCTTTTTTGCATTTTTGATTCATTCATCCGTGCTATGTGACCCAACCATTCAATTCTCCTTCCTCGAATGAAGTGGACAATGTGATAAGATCCATATAGCTCATATAGTTCGCTGTTCTTCCAGATTCTCCATTCATCCTCTTTCAACACAGGTCTATCAATTTTACGGAAAATTTTCCTGCCGAAGATTTTCAAAGCATTTATCGTGGGGGTGCAAAGTGTTCAAGTTTCCGCAGAATATGTCACTACTGATCTTACCAATGTTTTATACAACTTTATTTTCGTGGTTCGTGACTGCCACGATGACCGGAAGAGTTTTATGTTTGCGTAGTAAGCTTGGTTACCTGTCATAATCCGTCTATTATTTTCTGCTGATATTTCATTTATGCAATTACACCAAGATAGAAGGATTTAACGTTTTCGAAAGAAAAACCTTCAACGCATAGATCTTCTCTAGCTCTTAAATCACTGACTGAACTTACAAACATGTACTTGGTTTTGCTTTCATTTGCTTCTAAACCAAGCACTTCACCTTCCGCCTTCAACGGCTTGAATAAATCGATAAGAGATTGCTTATTCCTTGCTACTAAACAAATATCATCAGCGTAAGCACATATTTGAGTGGATGAACACAGTATATTCCCATAGGAGTTTAGCTTCCCAATCACACTATGTAGTGCAATGTTAAATAGTGTAGCAGATAGCGTATATCTTTGACTAACTCCAGTAGTGACTGGAAAACCGCGAATAAGGGTATCATTAATATACACTTTAGCATTACTGCCATCCATGGATAATTAATTATGTAATTTAATTCATTCTTGTATTTTTTAAGACCTATGCCTGACATTGATGGTCTAATGCAGGAATGGCCACCTGAGTTTGAAAATAAATTGAATGAGATTGGACTACCATTGGAAGATTTGGATGTGGATATACTTACTTATGCTGATGTTATATGTGGTAAAGATGTTAATTAACTTTTCAAATAATTTCATAAAAATTCATTATATCCCCATAAATTTATATATTTACAGCTATTTTTGATATTCCTCGATACGAGTCGAGGATAGAATCTCTTCATATTCTGTTTATGCTATATTCTGCCATCAAAAACTATAAATCAAACAGTGAAGGTAATGCAGTTCTTGAAAATCAAGATAATTAATTATGTTAATGTATTCTTGTGTATATTAAACTACATTGTTATTTTCATTTGTTGTAGTAAATAAAAATTAGATTAAATATAGTTTTTATAATTAATTATTAATAATATTATCTCCGATTATCTTAGATTGTATAAAATTGAAAATACATGTAAAAACCATTTTCTTACCTTTGTTTATTCCAAATTTTATACTCTAAAGTTAACTTACACCTTCCTACATCACATCTTATTTTTCATATCTTTCTATATATATATACAAAACTAGTGCTGACTCAATATTATTGAGTTAGTACCAAATATATTGGACTGTCGGTGGGATATATTGTCACAATTATATTGCCTTAAGAATAATATTGTCAAGTCCATGTAAAGTAAACCTTAGGAACTGAAGGACGCCTGCCACTTGTTGGGCATTATAAAAAATTACAAAGTATATGAAAAAAATGTATTTAAGCGTTTTAATAAGGAACTGAAATATAATAAATGAAATACAATTCAAATATTTCATAATATATAAGTGGTTAAGAAATAATTTAAAATTTTTTAGGGGGATGATGCCAATGCCCAAGAACACTGGTATGAAATTATAAATATTAAAATGATTTAAAAAAACAAATATTGGCGAATAAATCTTATAGTTTAATGTTTAAATATGGATATTTCATTTAATTAAAAAAGCATGTCTAGTGGATTTCTAATAAGTAGAGGAAATAGTTTCAAATTCAAAATGTCACAAAATTCAAGTACCTTCCCAAAATTTTCATGGAAAATAATACAATAGAAGAGATAAAGGCCAGAATTCAAAATTGCAACAAATGCTATTGGGCACTTAGGAAAATTTTTCTAAATCAAAACATATCCTGAGGAATCAAAGTAAGAATATATAAGACTGTCCTCCAACCAGTAGTAATGTATGCCAGTGAGGCCTGAACCCTTACAAAGTGACAGGAGAGGTTTCTCAATACATAGTAGAGAAAAATCCTGAGAAAAATATATGGCCCAAACAAAATCGAAAACGGATATAGTATAAAAACTAACAAGGAATTTAAGGACCTGTATGGAGACCCAGATTTTGTTTCGTGTGTCAAGAAGGAAAGATGGTTGGGATATGTACATCAGATGGATCTGGAAAGACTCCCAAGAAAGATAGATAATAGAGGGACATCCCTATAGTAAAAGAGGAAGAGGTAAACCCAGGCTGCAATGGTTGGAAGATGTCGAGGCTGACCTACGGCTTCTGGACGTGACAGAATGGAGAAGAGCTGCAGAGGATTGCTTCGAGTGGAGGAGAATTATTGAGAAGTTAGTTAGTTAGTTCATAAAATGAAAATACCTTTATTAATTTGGAACTAGCCTTCCTTTAGAACAAATTATAAATGGAGAATAAAAATTAATACAATAGTGTGTCCATAACTTAAATTAAATATTGACAAAATAAAGTAAAAATTCAGGTAATAAAGAGAAATAAAAAAAGTGTATGCATAAATAAATAGCATCGGAGAGCCTTACAACTTAGACTCTTACGTGCATTTCATGATCAAGCTATGAATAGAATAGGTGCTTAAAGAACAGAGATTTGAAAGAAGAGACGAACTTTGAGTGTCAAATATCGGGAGGAAAATAATTTTACAGGGAGATCGCTTGAAATACAAATTACATATCAAATGCAGCAGTTCGGTGAGGAGGATAGAGGTCGGATTTAGTGGGACAGGATTGAATGGAATTCGGGCTGAAGCCCCTCCCCCCTCCCAAAATGGTAAAATATTACCATGCCTTAAGAAGAAATATTAAAAAATTATCTCTAAAAGTATTATTGTTCGTGTAATTACATTTAATAGTACTTCAAGAATCACTTAAACACCATTTCTTATAGGTAGTTAGTTTTTCTTCCAAAGTAATTATCGTTACATTTTTAAAAAAAGCTTTCGGACTGAAGCTCTCCCCCCCCTCTAAAAAAAACTAAATCCTGGATCTCCCAGTGGTCTCCATTACCACCCAAGTCACTTTAGTGCTGGGATCTCCAAACTTTTTGACCCGCGGGCCGAGCTAAGATAGAAGCTAACTCATCTTTTCTTCCCATGATATTTATTGTCTTTCACTATCACCTCTTATGTAACGAAAATCATAACGTTTTAAAGTTTAAGTATATTTAGATACATATGTGAAGCAATATTTTTCTGAAAATGACAACTTGCCTTACTTTGGGGGAAGAGACAACGTGATATAAATTGTGATACCACGTCACTCAATTTGGACGAAAATGAGGTTGGTAGTTAACTGGAATAGTTTCTTAATTTCCAATTGAATGGGTTACCATTCATGGTTACATGGATATCGTAGGTTTATTGCAAAAAGTTATTAAGTGACATTTTAATGAATTTGAAGTTTCTGATTCATTAAAAAAATACTAAAATAGCAATTTGATTAATTATTTTCAATTCTAAATGTTTAATATATTTCCCACGATTAATTAAAATATTTAACGTTTAAATAACAATGAAAAAAAAAATTTAAAAACTGAAACCGCGATGCACATAGTGGTTTTTTGTACACTATCAAAGTTAAACAAAACGGGTGATAAAGATTCTTCACTTTTCAATTTTTGAGGGGCGTACATTCCGATGGAGTTGTGAATTTTCAAAATGAAAAATTTCAAATTAAAAGGAAATTGGAAGCATGGAATTGTATTGTATTAAGAATGCAGGATATGTAATTGTATACAATCTACGAATATTTAAATTATACTTTCGTTTGCACTGTTTTTAAGAAGAAGAGAGGAATAAGATATCTTGGAAGGGGTGGGGGAAGATTTATGCGCCATCGGTCTTGGGGAGGATGGGTACCCCTGGTCGGCACTAATAAAAACTTTATAATGACTGCGTCCTGATTATATATCACCCATGATATGTAGAACAATCGGCTAACTTCCTCAAATAATTCATTAAACAAAACAATTACTTTTATAATCTTGCAAATTCATAGGATGTGTATAGACTTGCCCTAATTAGTTTTATTAAACATCTGATAAATTAATCCAGTGAAAGAAGTCATTAAGTACCATATTATGGATGTTTGCGATATACTTTAACCTTATGTATAGAACAAAAATTTCATTAAATAACTTGATGACTTTTGGCTTTGTAAAATACTATTGTTACACTTAGTGAAACTATTTTTTACTATAGAAGGATTTGTATTATTTTTATAAACTTAATGAGTTATTGTAAGAATCAATATAATCAAAATTAGCAATTATGTACCTTCAGGTTTAAATCGACCAAACTTGTACTTCGTGACTAATTGCAATGATCCCACGGATATGTTAAATTATGCCTCCAAGACGTTTTGAGTTGAATTATGTTGAATTTTTGTTTATGTCTTATACATTCACATAAAGTTTCAATATATTATAGGTATCTGAATAGGATACAGTAACTGAACTGAAGTAAATTAGCAAGGAACCGGTTTTTTTAGAAAGAATCTTCAATTACACCCTACCTTCAATTTGACATTAAAAATTTAAACCTCAGACCAATTGTAAAACACATAAGATATAATCCTGTACTTTGAAAAGTATTAAAGTTTCGTCAAATAGAAACCATAAGGAAGGTGGAAATCACTTAGTTCCGAGCATTATCTTTACATATCGCTGTTCATTATTCATTTGAGCCTGTTAAGATGTTTTGGGGTCTATGGACAGACTTCAATATCCCGATTTACAGATTGGAATTTTACTGCACATCCAGAGATCTCGTCTCTGAGACGAATTCAAGTGGCGTTGTTATTTAAGTATCGCGTCCGTCTCAAAAAGCCTTAATAGTTAGGTTGTTGTGAACGATCTAAAATGTCATTCTTTCGCTTTTGAAATTAGTTTAAAATATGTTGACACGTTATTAACCTTTGTAGTAATATATTATTGGAAATTCTTATATTAAACAAAATTAGTTGAAGCCCAGCCTTCAATTGCTGTTTTGCCAAAGTGATCATAAATACTGAGGTCAATAACTTCTTTGCTAGAACTTGCTGTTATTCAATAACTTCTTTGGCTGCTTCACACTCTTTGGTCATTAATATCGATCATATTTGAATTTTTTGGTTTATTTTAATTTAATTAGACGTTTTATATAAAATATCAATTTTAAGAAATACATATCATTTGGTAATTATTAAAAGTTAATGAATATCTCAAGGTATGGCTACTAATACTGAAGAAGTAAGTTGACAATGAATTGAATGAAGTATTAATTTTTGATAAGTGTTAAGCAATAGATTTCTACTAGTGAGAAAAATGTTTGAATTCACAGGCTATTATTTGGAAAGAGAAAGGCAATGAATGTGTCAAACAAGGCAAGTATGAAGAGGCTGTTCTTCATTATGGCCGTGCGATCAAATTGGATCCGAACAATCCTACCCTCTATAGTAACCGATCATTGGCTTTCCTAAAGCTTCAGCAGTATTATTATGCATACTCTGATGCTAATGAAACTATTAAACTTAGACGAGACTGGGCTAAGGTGTGTTTATAGTTATAATTTCTATTATATCATACAGAATGTACATCTATTCCAATTTTAAATTTAACTTTGATCAAATATCATTGTTTTCTTGTGAATTTGAAGCATCCATGCGTGATGTCATCAAAGTTTTACTTCAATAATTACTTACTTTACGTCTATATTTGTTCATTAGTATAGGCATTTTATAGAAAAATTTTCAACAGCAAGTGGTCTTGCATGATATATAGAAACATTCATAATGGTGGACAGTTGTAATTAGTTATGAATATAATACACTAATAAGTGAACTGTATTTTGTGTGCTGATATTGTGTGCAGAAGGTTCTACAAATATATATATATATATATATATATATATATATATATATATATATATATATATATATATATATATATATGTATATATTTATCGTCCTGAAAAAGGCCTAAATTTAGACCAAAACATTTTCATGGATTAAAATAAATACACTTGTTTTATTCATTACAATTGACAACTCCGCCAAACAACTTAACCTGCAAACAGTCAATTATTTTTTAACAGGATTTTATAATGGCCTAGATATGATATAGATTCATTAGGCCTCCATGAGATTCCTTTGCAGTATTAATACAACGAGCATATGTAATCATTAATATTTAAATATTGAGATTAAGATAATTGGAAAATTAATAATTTTTTAAAATATAAATCCTTCTTTCCCTTTTAATATGCTTTTTATATATTCGTTTTATAATTTCCTGATTTTCCCTCTGGGTCTTTTACCATCTGATCAAACTTCCATTATTCCATTTGCTATTCGGTTTTCATGCATTCTGCATACATGCCCGAATCACTTGAGTTGTCTTCTGTGGAAGCTGGTTTCATTGGAGATATGATATAGCATAATTAAAAAAAAAAAATTGACTTGAGATTTTATTGAATCAAAACAATGAAATACATTTTTCTTGTCATATACTATTGTGATTTTTACTATATCTAAATTTTATTATGATTTTTTAGGCTGTTACTTTAATTTATAAGACACTTAATTTCAAGAAACATTTTATTTTTAGGTTAGCTGAGTAAAATATATGTTTCCATTTTTTTTTTGGCCATAGTTCTTATGTAAGGACTTGCATGATTTTTTAAATATTAGTTAGACTAATAAATACATCTTAAATTTATTTTTATTACTTGATATAAGTTTTAACATTGCAAAAATAGCTGAGTTTTAATATATTTTAAACCCACAAAAATGTCCATGCCCAATGCCCAATGGCTAGAGGGATGTTTGATTGATCATTTCAAAGCTTTGTAAGATTTATCATTTTATTGTATGGGCTTTCTTTTGTTTGATGTATATTAATACAACCTCAATATTAAAAATTTTCATTTTACTTCTTTTCTAAAATTTTAATTTAGTAAATCTCAAAAACACCAAAAAGTAAAAAATTAGGTTTAAAAAAAAAAATGTTATTGAAACATATTGTCGGTTTATTGAAAAAAAAAAGTCATTAGGTACATTTTTGACTAAGCTAAACTTTTAAGAATGTTTTTGAAAGTTTTGACATTATTTATCTTAACAAAAACACAAAGTACATCAAAATGGCACAAACCCTTTTATCTAACAAATATTAAAAACTTAAATCATAAAAACTACACAATATTTTGATTTCACTGAGGGAAAATTCATCGAAGTAATCTGTGATTTAATTTTATGGTATGTTACCTAATGAATTTTTGCGATAAACCATTATTATAATGATTAGATTCATGCCAAATTTATATATATATATATATATATATATATATATATATATATATTTTTTTTTTTTAAATACTATTACACAAAAAATCATATAAATCTGATATAAGCAGGTTCATATACAGGGTGATTCAATTCTTAATGACCAAACTCTGAGAGGTGATTTTAGACAAAATTTCTAACAAAAAAGTTAAGTTGATGTATTGATTGATTTCGAATGGAAAATGAGTAAAGTCTAATTTTGTGTTTTCTTTAGGTGATCGTGTTTTATCTTTCATAGGATACAAAAATTATTTGACTCAGGTAATTATAAATTGGTTCATAATAAACTAGACCTGATTTCTTTCTAATGCAAGTAGAGTTTGTCTTAGTCAAAACCATTTAATGATGATTTTTGCAGCTAAACTATGGTAACTTGTGTTTTTATTAAATCATGGATTGGATTATTTGCGATGTTTTTTTATCATCCTACAACTCAATTTTTTTTAAACATATTCATAATTAATTTACTAAAATAGGGGCCAGGTCACAAGAAAAAGAAAGAATTTTCTGAAAATAAAGAGTTGTTATGAAGAGTTGAAGGGGCTCTATCATTCATACCATCGCAATTACTTCCTAGCTTCCTTTCTCTTCCAATTCATCCAATCCCACCTTCCTTCATATAGCTCCTTCAATTCCAATTCTCTGTCATCTCCCGCAAAACTTGTTCTCAGTCTTCACATTTATATAAAAGGGCACACCGAACAGGTGCTTTCGACAAATCTTTTATTATCCGATCCTCATTCCCATGGAATTCTATTTCTCCCTGCATCTGTCGCTCCAATACCATCCCTATCTTTAAATCTCTTCTATTCAATCACCTATCCGTTCAGCCTCCATAAAATTGTAAATATGTGCTTAAATTATTAGCTCATTTAAAATATTTTTATTTCATTTTTTTTTAATTGATGAAGTTAGAAGATAACTTATACTTTTATTTTATTTGATTTATTATGTATATTTGTTTTATTTTTTTTAATGATTATTCTATGAGACTCCAAAGCCTACATTTCTATCTCTGTATATTATTTTAAAGAGACTTGTCCCAGAATAAATAAAGTATTATTATTATTAAAATATAACTCTGAAGAAAACTGGGGTAACGGAATATCAAATTACATAATATTTAATACAAATAGAGGTGAATATCAACTCTATTCTAAAACAAACCTTAAGTAAGTTTATATGCAATTAAAGCTTATTAAATAAGGAAGTTCAGTTCAATCGTAAGATAATAAACAAAAAACATCGCAAGTAATCCATGATTTAATGAAAAACATAACTGCGTAGTTTAGCCGTTTAAAAGTCTTTTTTAAATGTTTTTGACATTAACAAACTCTACATGTATTAGAAGGAAATTTTGTCTAGTTTACTATCAAGCAATTTTTAATTACCTGAATTAAATCATTTTTTTGTTATCGCTTCCTATGAAAGAGAAAACGTAATCACCTTAAAATACAAAATTGTACTTTACTTCTTTTCTGATCGAAATTGGTGCATGCATCAAGTGAATTTTTTCATTGTAAATTTTGTATAGAATCACTTCTCAGAGCTTGCGCATTAAGAGTTGAATCACCATGTATATCTTTATCATTGGACAATTTGAATGAAATTTTGATTTATATTGAAAGGGGATCAAAAAGAAAAGGGGATGGAAAGAAGAGGTATTAAAAAATGAAAGTTGCTCCTGACGAAATTTCTATTTTCGGCCCTATATTATGGAAACAAACTTAGATACTAATAGAAGTTTTTAACATCTTTAATTATTAAATTTCTGATAATTTATTTTATTTTTTTAAATAATTTATAGCAAAGCAATTATCAATGCTTTCTAAAACTTTTTACAGATTAATGAAATGTTCACAGGGTTATTTTAGGAAAGGAGAGGTTGAAATGAATGTTGGCAAACCATCAATTGCGCTATTATCATATCAGTTAGCTCTCTATTTGCAACCAGCTGATCAGACAGTTAAAGATGCGATGGCAAGAGCTACTGCAGCCTGCGAGAAGGAAAAGAAAAGTAATTCATTTTTACTAAATTGCTTTAGATTTTGAATTTAATTTTGGGGGCTTCAGCCCAAAAGCTTCTTTCATATATATCTATATGTATATAACTATGTCTGATTTAAGATCAGGTAGCTAAGAAGCAAAAAAAAGTATAATTTGATTTTTAAAAAACACGCACAGTATCTGAACTAAGACTAGTTTGTTGGTCTTGCTCCTTTGCAAGTTGTATCAGTTCTTAATGACGATACTCTGAGGGGGGGGGGAGGGAGAGAGAGGTTGATTCTAGACAAAATTTCCAACAAAAAACTTCATTTGATGCATGGGCCGATTCCAAATTGAAAAGGTGTTAAGACCAATTTTGTGTGATTACCTTTTTTATTGAGTAAGAAGGAATTGGTCAATAAATGTTCAAAAAGAAAAAATTCTAAGCACACCATCATAAATTAGACAAAATTTCCTTTGAGAAAACATTGATTAAATTTACTAATGTCAATGATAAAAGGGACTTTTTGTAGGCCGCTGTACCGTTACAATCACAGTACCTATACCCAAGCAGCATATCTTGGTACATGCTCGGTAGTTTGGAGGAAAAAGAAAGAGAAAGAAACTAACCAATGACTAGAACAATAATACTTTTAGCAATAATTTTTTTCATAATACATGGTTTTATTTATATTGAAAACTTAATGGTTGACCGTTGTATATTTTAGAGGAAGGAGATAGTCCGGGGTGGTATTCATAAAAAAACTAAAATGGAGGAAAAACTATTTTATTTGAAGCCAACGTTTCGCAGTTCTTCTTCATGGGGCTGCGTCCAGCAAGGAGTTTGAGTTAAAACTCAGTAGTTTTTCTAGATCCCCCTGTGGAAGGTTCTAATCTTGTGGCTCCTATAAAGGTTACATTAGTTCCTTTACAATACAGCTAACTATGAGAGCCTGAGGTCACTGCTTCACTGATTCCAACCAAATTATTTTTTTATTTATTCAACATCAAGAAATATTAAACATGTGTCCTGGGATTTCTTCTTGGATGGGTCTTAAGAGACAAGAAAAAAAATTATAATTAAAAAAAAATTCTGTTTTTGGTTTTTCCCTTAATTTGTATGCTTTTCTAGGTATGGTATGATTTGTTTTTTGTTTGCAAAAAACATACATTCATTACCTTTCTTCTTGAAAAAATATTTAACCCCAGATTGTAACATCAGTCTGTCAGATTTGTTTTCAGTGTCATCTTTAGGGTGAGGCAACTGAGGCAAACGGCCCGGGGCGCCGACCTATCTTCTAAGGCGCTCGCCACTTTTTAGATATAAAAAAAAATGTGAAACTTATTAATTAATTTTAGCCTATCAATAAATCAACTGTATTAGGGAATGTTGAATTAAATAAAATTTAAATATTACCTTATATAAAACAGCTTAAGAAATAAATTTAATTTATTATGAGGTAGACAACGTAATTGCCCTGGGCCTCAAATGTCTAAGGCCAGCACCGTTTGTTTCAATAGTGTACTCATACCATAGGCACAGAATTTCCATTCTGGTTGGGAGGTGAAAGATGCACCAACCTCCTCCCTCCCCCCTCCCTCCCCCCTCCCTCCAAAAAAATGTATTGGAGTTTATATTATGAATAAAAATTATGATTGATAAATAACATAATTACTATAAAATGAACTATATAATACTAAACTGTATGTGCAATATAAACTAAACAATATAAATATCTTTGAATATAAACTAAAATTTCATTCATAAGAACCTAATCATCATCTGTGGCACTAAAACTCCTGTAGAGTCGAGGCTTTCCGCAGCTTGTTCCACCAGTTTTTTCTATTGGTTGCCGCTGCTCAATCCATCAGAGTAGAGGTCTTCCCACTCTTCTTGTCCCATAAGTCCTTTCATCTAGGACCATCCCAAGTTAAGGCGAAGGCCAAAATTATTGATCTATTGAATATAGTTTCCCCAACTTGTATTTCAGATTTCTGTACCCCCAGGAACCTAAGGCATGGTAAAATACTTGTGTACCTACTTCTTGTTTATGGTAATAAATAAAAAAAAAGGACAAATAGCTGCTATGCAGTGCCACAATCATAAAATGGTGATCGAATTGAAGATCTATGGATCCACAAACATTTAAATCGACCCTCATATCATAAAAAATACCAAAAATTCGAATACTAGTTAAAACATATCAAAGAAATCCAAAAACACTAAAGAAGCTGTAACGCATTGGCGTAATCCTAAGATAGAGATCATATTACAAATTTTTGGCTCCAAAAACATAAAGTGACATTTATATCAAAGAAATACTAAAAACTGAAATACTTATTGTAAACATTTTAAAGAAATCCAAAAAACTCAAATAACCATCTAATCAACTTCATATTTATATAATTGATTTTAGTATACATATTTTATTCATTCTTGTAGATTAATTGTTATTGATTTCATTTAATTTTTAATTTTTGATCCTCAAAATATTAGAGGGGCCATTGGCCACACCTAAGTCTGCGCCTATGACTCATAATGTAGCTATCTGCTAAATATAATGTATTTTTCTCTGGGTATTAAGTGTATTGGAGATATTATTTAAGTTAAGCAGCTCTGGATCTCATTAAATGTTTTTTTTGGAAAAAGCAAAGTTTATATTAATTTTTTAAACCTTAAATACAATTTTTTTGGTAATAAAAAATGTTTTTCCTATAGAGGATCAAATCCCATGGCTTTGTGCTGGTGTCGGAATTATTATAGGAGTAGCCATTGTGATGGGAGATCAGTTCCTTACACCTGAACCTTCAATATCAGTAAGGTCCTTTTTTCTATTATTTAATGTGTTCTAATTTAATTAAGAAATATTATAATTCTTTATTATTATGTGTAATTGTGGTAGACTTTGATAACTTTTTCCTAGAATTTCTTGGTATTCTTGAATTAATATTTGAAAAAAGTGTATACTTTTTGAGTTATTCGGAATTTAATTTTACCATCCCTCGTAACTTTTTTTCCAGCTTCTTTTCGCTGAAGTATGTTACATAGATAAATTTGAAGGGTGTCGAGAAAATGACTTTAGCGAAGTTTCAATGAAATCGGTACATTCGTTTAGGCGCTACAGTCTATAGCTACGTTTTTCTGCATTTTAATTTGTTTTTCTGCTTTATTAACTTATAAAATTCTTTCAAAAGTTATATTTAGCATTTTTTCGTAACTCTGAATAATGCAAAATAATTAACTTTTTAAAATAAACCATATTAAAGGTACTTTAGAGGAAGACATATATGAATATTGGGATAAGACCTAATTGATATTAAAGACCAATTAATTATACAATGATACACCGAGTTTAATCAAAATCGTTAGAGCCGTTTTTGAGAAAACTGTAAAAATGTGTTTCAGCGTTGATATAAAGTGGCACTTCCGGTTAGCCGATTTTAAGGAAAAAGTTGCCATCACAACTAAGGCATATACCTATCTTAAATATGTGATATCAGTTTCATAGGACTTTTCGTTTTTGAGCTAGACTGCTAACATACAGACACACAGACCATTTTTCGGGACTTGATCATTTCGACTCAGGGTACATCAAAACGTATAAATCCGTTGAAAACTCAGATTCAAAAATTTTCTCGATCGCAATACTTACACTTACTCTATATTACATATATACGTAAGTGAAAGTAAAAAAAAAACACTGTAAATTATTACACAATGGTTTATTATTTATGAATAATTAAATGGTTACATAGTTAACTATTCAAATCAAATCTTGAATAACGATCCCAAGATAGAATTCTGGGTTTTGATTTTTTTCTTTCTTAACTATGATTTAAAATAAAAAAAAAAAAAGCTTTTTTAAAAAATTATAAATTATAAAAAAAAAAAAAAAAAAAAAAAAAAGGAAAAAAAAAAAAATAATATATATATATATATACGTATAAAATATTGTATACTATGCTCATACATATTGTTAATCCTATAATTGTATAATAATTTTAAATAATGTCTGTAGTGATTAATAAGTATGCTGTGTTGTTAGCAACCCAATGTAATTGGGCAGCACCATTTTATTTTATTTTATGATAATAAAGTGATTCTCTCTCTGTTATTTAATGACCTTTCTATTATGAAGAAGTTTAATTCTTAAAAAAATGCATTCATAATCTTGTTTCTTTGTGTTATAGCATCCACTGTTGATGGCACTGCTGACAATATCCGTTGCATCAATTGGATATCTGATCGCAAGAGCTTGGAGGTTTTTCAGGAAGTGCCAGATGCATTCACTATTGGATCCTCCTTTGGACTTACTTGCCGGTATTATTTTATTGTTTCAAAAATTTGTGTTTCGGAGATTTAATATAATCATCTATTATGGGCAGCGAGGTAGCTTAGTAAGTCTCAATACTCACAATACCGGGTGCAAGATTTGATTCTGGCTGTGACAGATAATTATTTATTCTGTTACATCAGCTATGGACCAGATTCTTGACTCTGAGACCCTCCTGGGGTATACCCAGCCTTTTGTATAGTGGGCATTCTTAATTAATCAAGAAAGAAAATCTGATTGTTTTGATCATGTCCCTCCAACGGTTGAAATGGTACAGGTTTTTTATTTTTTTAAATTTATTTATTCATTTATTAACTTTATTATTTATTTATTTTTTAGCATCTACTGATAAAACAATAGCTCCAAATTCATAACTTATAAAAGAAAGAAAATAAATAAATAAAAGTTATACATTGATAGAATAAATTGTTGACACTTATAAAGTATTGTCATATTATAAACTTTTCAAAATTAATCTAGAAGAAAAATAAAATTAGAACTATCCCTTTTTGTTAGTAATTAATTTATATGAACTTATGACTTCCCAATAATTATTTTGTAAAATAACAATATATTTACTTAAAAAACAAATTAATGTTAAATTCTTTTGGTCGATAGAAATGCATAAGGATGATAAAAAAGATGAGGAGCAAGAGCCAGATATACCTACAGAAAGAACACACACGAGATTAACAAAAGCCCAAGCGAGAGCCAAATTGAAAAGACAAAGGACATAAATGTGATTATATTTCTATATATTTATAAATTTTGTTGCTTTCTGTTTTAAATAAAAATATTTACCAAAGTCAAAGTCTATGTATTTTAATTTTTATCTTTGTATTTTTTTATTTCCACTTACCCATATTTTTGCTTTCACTTACTTATAAAGTATTGCCATCATTTTGAAGTCTTTTGAGTCCAAATAACGGTATTTGTGAAGAATCCAGTCAGGACAAAGCCTCCCTTCTTATCTTACCTTACGTTACATAATTCTTTTCTTATCTTATGTAAGCTGTTGTTATATTTCTGTTACATGTGAGTAATTCCATTGTTTATTGTTCAAATGGATATTATTACATTGTGGGAATTGCCATCTTCAGATGAAGAAGCTATCAAATATTTTCAAAAGGTCAGGATAATTCCAAAGGTGAAATTCTGTTAAGAAGGTCATGAAACGAAGTTTGACAGGAAGACGAATAGAGATGTTTTTGAGCAGTTGTAACAAAAACGTATCTATAAGAAAAGGAACCCTACTTAACACAATACGATTATGTGGCTCAGCTAAGTGGAGAAATAAAAAACATGGAGGAACTGCTAGGTAACTCCTGGATTCATATTTTTGTGGCGGCGGACTCCCAGAGAAGAGTACCTGTTCTTCGCTATTTTAAATAGCATTAAGCTATTTTGTCTGTCAAAATAAATTAAATGAAAATAAAATTGTTTTATATGTACATATGTTGTTAAATAAAGTATGAAAGTATATGTGTTGTATGCATTAAGTGTTTATGTCGTATTTTGTATAAAATGTAAAATAAAATTGTTTGTTGTATGTTGTAAAATCAACGTGTTTTGTTATTATTACATCTGTTTTTGTATATTTCAATTTCCATAAATATGACATAAGTACCCAAATAACTAAGTCCCACAAAATGGTGTGTGTGTGTATGTATATGTGGACAGCCTAGCTCAGAAACAAAAAGTCATACAAAAGTGAAATTTCATATTTATAGTTTGTAATATGCCTGGGATGTTACAGCAACTTTTTCGTCAAAATTGGTTAACCAGAAGTGGCACTTTATATCATCCATTTAATACATTTTTATGATTTTCTCGAAAATGGCAAACGATTTTGATTAAATTCATTATATCAGTGTAAAATTAAGCAGTTTTAAACATAATGTAGGTTTTATTCTCATTGATTTTCTCTAACAGGGTTTAAACGGCTAATTTTCAATATTAGCTTCCTATAAAGTACCTTTAATTTTTTTTATTTGAAAAAATTAACTATTTCACATTATGTTGTAAAAAATAGTTAAATATAAAATATGAAATAATTTTATTGTTAATTAAAGGAGAAATAAGACATTTCAACGGATAATAGTTGTAATGGGAGAACCAAAGGAATACGAGCTTATCCGAAAGATTAGAACAGGTTTCTATACATAACATTAGTTTAATATAATATGGAATCTGAATATATTATGTACATATACATGTGCGGTTTGTATAAATGCTATCATTGGTATTATTTAGTATTTAATTGTATAGATATCAGGAATATAAAAATTAAAATTTGTATATATATAAGGGTACTTAAACAAATGTAAATACCCACAATGAAATATAAGTAAATATAGCATCTACAATTTTTATTTTCACTTCTCCTTTGTCTGAAAATACTTGTTTCTGCTTAGAGGATAGTAAGTGAAAGCTGTGTGATGTCTGCACTAGATTTTTACTTTCACTTACTTATATAAGTACTATGTAATAAGGGTAAGTATTGGGTTCGTGAATATTTTTGAATCTGAGTTTTCAACAGAAATACACGTTTTGAGGTCCTCTGAGTCAAATTACCAAGTCCCGAAAAATGGTCTGAGTCTGCGTGTCTGTATGTATGTGAATAGTGTAGCTCATAAACCAAAAGTCGTATGAAACTGATATTACGTATTTAAGATAGGTATATGCCTTAGATATGGTAGAAACTTTTTCCTTAAAATCAGCTAACCGGAAGTGCCACTTTATATCAACGCTGAAACACATTTTTACAATTTTCTCAAAAACGGCTCTAACGATTTTGATTAAACTCGGTGTATCACTGTATAATTAAGTGATCTTCAATATCATTTAGGTCTTATTCCCATTGATGTCACTTTGCAGGGCTTAAATGCCTAATGTTCTTATACGTCTTTCTCTAAGGTACCTTTAATATGATTTATTTATAAAAAATAACATTTTTTTATTGACAATAACTATAAAAAATGGCTAAAAATAAATTATGAAAGATTTTCATAACTGGAAAATGGAGAAATATGGTAAAATGTTTATTTAGGTTGAAAATGAATCTTCGGTCAGGTCTTATCCCCATTGATGTCACTTAACACGGCTCAAATGCCCAATGTTCATATACGTACCTTTAATATTGTTTATTTTAAATAATTAACTATCTCTCATTATTAAGAGTTACGAAAAAATACTAAATATAACTTTTAAAAGAATTTGATAATTTATTATTATTATTGATAAGAGAAAAAAAAAAAATTCTTATCCAAGTCGCAAATGAATCTTCGGAAATACCAGTCAGAAGGCATAGTTATAATATATCTTAGGAAAGCGGAGGATATTAGAAAAAACAATATCTAATATAGAAAGTTGTAGAAGGTAACAAAGAGTGGAGGAAAAGTATAAATAATAATTTCAGAAAACTAATATTATTTAAAGTAAATCACATGTTTCCAAAGAAATTAAATGGAATTTTCTCAATAAATGTAAACTTTTAAATTTTTTCTAAGTTTGAAAAAAAAAGTATTTAAAATCCATCGAATCAAGCCAATGCCATTGTTTAAAATACTATTTCATTGTACTTGTGTGAAAGAAATAGTGGAATATCAAAATATTTCATGAATATGTTTATAACCTCAAATATATTTACTTTTGGTTACATAAACAAAACTGTTATATAAACAAAATTCTAAGAATATTGATATATTAAACTGAATTTTATAATTATTTTATCTCAGGTATGGATTATTGACAATCAGGTCAGAAGACTCAGACAGACTAATATTAAGACTATTTGATTTTAAAATAATCAAATATTGATTGGCTAGCTAACCTTTTTTGTATAAACACTGTTTCTTCCGTTGCACTGAATTCATTTGTCTTTTAACATTTTCCTATGTTCCGCTAAACACACCTTCCAAAATGGTGACACTTTCATCTTCTCAACTCAAGTTCCCTGGGAGATTCTCTCTCTTGTAGTGCCAAACAACTGATTGCCAAAACAAAAATCCTTTTTCCCTCTCCTCTTTTGGGTTTTCCTTTTTGGGAAAACTATAGAGCAGCCATTTTCTTTACTCTTGAACTAGTGAAATTATTTTTCAAATTTTAACATCCCCTGACATTAGCAGAACTATATTAGCTTGCCTTTTAACTGTTCAACATTAATTTATTAAACCATTTTTACCAACTATCAATAAAGGTGTATATTACACATGATCGTGCAGTACAATACGTGAAATCATATTTATTAGAGTGTATCAAGAAGATATAACCATTCTATTTATTTTTTTTATTCACTTATCATGAAATTTGTTTTAGATTAAATAAGAAATGTTTAATGAATCAATGTCCTCAGCGCCTAATAAATTATCATAACATACAGATTATCTTGGTCGATTATAAAGGCTGATTATAGACAATAATAAACCAAAATGTACAAGCCACAAGGAAGTTAACTGCTAACTTTAACTGCTTAACTCTATTGTGATTTGTTTTGTTTTTTAATTATTCAATTATTTTCTATATTTAACTTCCATTTCACTGTTCAGGTGACTTCAATAGATTTCTGATTATTAGCTTGATTTTTCCTCTATCATTTTTTTTCAATTTATGTTCAGGTCTACTTATATTTGAGTAAATATGGTAAATGTAAATAAGTATGACATATCAATGGAGGATTAAAAAATGGTGAGGATTAAAAAAAGGCAACAAAAATTAATATTTCTTAACATTATTTTTTATAAATTAAATCACTTAATGCTAACACAAAAATATACATCTACGTATCTGAAATTGGAGATAATAATTTTATATAGAGAAATACAAACATTTTTAATGATTGAAGGGTTCTTCCAAAAAACCCTCCTCCAAGATATATACATCTCTTAATTTCCTGTACACATTATTACTACGTTTAAGGGGTTTTTTTCTTACGTAAAATGAATTCTGAATTCATCGTCTCTAACTGCAGAATTTAGATAATGTCAAAGATTGTCTAGTGCTTTAAGCGATAGGAATGAAAAGATGAATACTAGGATATCAAATTAAAAATATAAAAGTATCTAAAGCTATATAAACATACACACCTGCCAAGAAATTATAGACATCAAGAGAAATATAAATCGATCATGCATTAACAAATATGAGGACCAGAATCCAGCCATCTGGCAAATAGATAAAAGGCATGAAGAAAATATAATGAAAGTTACTAGTTCCAATTAGCAACTCCAAGATAGTGGCTAGTTTCAAGGTCAATATGAGCAAACTGTAGATGGAATCCCGAACAACCGGTCTACATCCTTCGAAACTTTCACTCTTTTTTGGAAATAAATATCAAAATGAACATAAATTTTAATTTCCGAGCTACAATATTCAACATCCCCTTTACTTAGTAAATTATTAAGTACTTATCTATAAGAAATTAACTGATTGAATGGAAGTACTGCTGTAATCAAAATTAAATTTATATTTTAATCAAGTGTGTTTTTTCACCTTCATGAAAACAATTATAAGAAAAGCACTTTTTTCAATTTTGTTTCCAGTAAATTGGTTTAAATAAAAAAATAGTTTTGTATTATTAATATAATTATTTTAAAAAATCAAATTAATTAAACTTTTATAACTAATTATTATAAACTGCTTACTGTATATATCATTTGTCGTATGAAATTAATTTAATTAGTAGTAGAAATAATGGATATATATTTTGAAATGAAATTAACCTATTTACAAAGGTAATTTAACAACACAAAATTTTATAAATGACAATCCTATAATTCTTCCGAGTAAAATACCACTTTGCAAAAATACAAA